AATTTTATTGAAGAGAACTCTAGTCTTTCCCATTCTTGCTACTCTCTGGAACTCTGCATTCAGATGGGTATATCTTTCCCTTTCTCCCTTACCTTTTGCTTCTCTTCTTCCCTCAGCAATTTGTAGATCTTCCTCAGACAACCACTTTGCCTTCTTGCATTTCTTTTTCTTTGGCATGGTTTTGGTCACTGCCTCCTGTACAATGTTACGAATCGTCATCCATAGCTCTTCAGGCATCCTGTCTACCAGATCTAATCCCTCGAATTTCTTCATCACCTCCACTATATAGACATAAGGGATTTGATTTAGGTCCACCTGAATAACCTAGTGGTTTTTCCTACTTTCTTCAATTTATGCCTGAATTTTGCAATATGGAGCTCATGATCTGAGCCACTGTCAGATCCAAGTCTTGTTTTTGCTGACTATATAGAGCTTCTCCATCTCTGGCTACAAAGAATATAATCAATCTGATTTTAGTATTGACTATTTGGTGATGTCCACGTGTAGAGTCATCACTCATGTTGTTGGAAAAGGGTGTTTGCTATGACCAGTGTGCGTTCTCTTGACCAAACTCTGTTAGCCTTTGCCCTGCTTAATTTTGTACTCCAAGGCCAAATTTGCCTGGCATGAGTGGCAGTTGAGAAAGGAAGGCAAGTGAAGGCCACCCTTTAAGAAGATTAGGGACAGGACAGAAAGTGACAGTGGGGTTCAGGGAGGACCTTTTTTGGAGAGAAAAGATTTGTTCTGGTTTAAATGCGAGTGAGAAGGATCCTGCAGGAAGAGGTTGAACACTGTGGGGAATTGGTAACCGATGGATGAAGACAAGGCAGATAGGAAAACATAATGGGGTTGCCAGGTGGGTCGCACTGAGGCACACTAGACTATGAACTTGAGGGAGAACAAAGTTGAGTGGCTGTGTGACTTTTTCCCTGACCACCTCAGCAGGGCTGCTGTAGCTCATGAACCTTAGAGAAGGTGGGTGGCTGCACTGACCCAGGGCTAGTGTTTCCAGTTTGACAATCAAAAAAAATTGTGAGGCTGGAACAAGAGAGTAGAGGGCACTGGAGGTGAAGGTTGAGGTGGTTGGTGGGTCTTGAAGTCGAAGCTGGGGAAGGAAGGGATGAGGCAGGAGGTGGGTGGACAGAGCTCGCTGTACCACTGAAGAGCAGGCGTAAAGGGAAGATCCAGAGAAGGTGGAAGGAGCGGAGGATGAGGTCAGACCGGGGAGCCTGAACTTCAGATTGCAGAAGGTGGAGCAGTGCTAAGTGATAGCCATGGAGTGGGTGACTGAGGTTGAGAAGGGCTCTGGACATCCAGAGTCAGGGCCACGGTTCATGTGGAGCCCCCTCCAGGTGGGCAGGAAGCCAGGTGGGAATGACCCTGGAGACAGCCACGAGGGGGTGTGGCTTGCAAGACTCAGAGGAGCAGGCGGGTGGAGTGTTAAGGATGGTAGAGGTGTGGTGGTCTGGGAGAAGCCAAAGGGACTAGCCCTGTCACCACCCCTGACCTCGGGCTGGGGTGGTCTGTGATCCATCCCTCAAGGACAGCAGAGGAGGGTGGTCTCTGTGAAGAGACCTGTGTTCTCAAGGGACCTGACCGAGAATTCCCTTCTGAACATGACTCCAGAGCGGTGTTGAGACGAGGGGCCATCAGAACAGATTGCAGAGTTAGCACAGCAAGACAGGACAGTGACTCCTCGTCTAGAACTGTATGACCCACGTTGGTCAGTGAGGGCCTGATCAAAAGCTGTGATGACCACCACAGCCTTGGAATCATTATAGCTATTCTGTGCTCTCCTTGAGCAGAAAATCATGTCCTGCTCATCACCAATCCCCTGCAATGCTGGAGACCTGTGTTCAATTCCCGGTTCAGGAAGATCCCCTAGGGAAGAAAATGGCAACCCACTCCAGTCTTCTTGCCTGAGAAATCTCAGGGACAGAGGAGCCTGATGGCCTGCAGTCCATGGAGTCACAATTGTTGGACATGACTTAGTGACTAAACCACCACCACAAGGAGTGGTAGAGACAAGATGAGTTCCGAAATGTCCATGGACTGGAGGAATGCTTCCCAGTAGGTCCAGTTGGAGAACAGGGACCTCTTTTTCATTGAAAAAAAAAAAATTCTGACTTTGAAACCTCAAAATATATCTGACATGGGAGCAGCTGCAATGAACACTGCCAGTGGTAGGCGAGGGTAAGAGACTGGGTCAGATGTAACTGCCTACAAACCCTGGCTCTATCTTCCTCTAGCCGTGGGAGGGTGGGCAACTCAGTCATCCTCTCCAGTCTCAGTTTAATCATCTGTAAAATGGGGATAATACCCCTTACCTGGCAGGGTTCTAGCAAGGATTACACAAGCTAATCCATGCTAAGTATTTGGCGCAGCGCCTGGCACTCCTTAAATGTTAGTTATCATGACTATGAATTCAGTTATGCTTTAAAACACATTTCTGTTTTACTCATCACACTAGCACCCACACACGGGGGAAATGGTTGTTCATATCCATGGAAGGCACATTTCTTATTCAGTCAGCAGCCTGTGCTTGGGGAGGCCATGGAGATTCAGGGACCTCTTGCAATAACTCGAAGTCTCGCAGGGCCCCTTGGTCAGTCCACATTATCCCTTCTCACCTTGTGATCTGACTCTCCCCAAGGCAGGCATAGTAAGGAAACTGCAACCCAGAAACTTGCCCCTGGAAGGACGAACAGGAATGCTCAGAAGAGTTGGTGGAAATCGGTCTCACTCACCTCCCTGTTCTCTTCCTGTGGCAGCTTCAGCCTGTTGGCGGTTCCACAGACGCCTGGGCCTGGTTGGGCCTGTGTGTTTGCAGTGTTGCTGCTGTCACCGCCAACTGCACTGTCGGCTGTGGGAGTGTGGGCCTGGGCTCCAGGAACTGTTGTCCCAACTCTGACTGTGGCTCCAGACTTAGTCACAGTTCCATCTCAGTCCCTGCCCAGTCTCTGTCACAGTCCCTGTGTCAGACCCTGTCACAACATCTGACACGGTGTCACAGCCTTTGACACAGTCTCCATCACAGTCCTGTCACAGTCTCTATCACAGAATGTCATAGATCCTGTCAGCCTCACAGCCTCTGTCATAGTTTCCGTTACAGGGTCTACCACAGCCCCGACGCAGTCTCTATCACAGCCTCAGTCATAGCTCCTGTCACAGTCCCTTGTCAGAGCCTCGGTTACTGCCTCTGTCACAGCCTCTGACACAGCCCATTACAATCCCTGTCCCAACTTCTGTCACAGCCTCTGTGACAGGCTTTGCACAGCCCATCAAAGTCCCTGTCACAAAGTCTCTATCACAGCTCCTGGCACAACCCCTATCATAGACTTGGTCATAGTTTCTATCACAGCCCCTATCACAGTCTCTGTCACAGCCTCTGACATAGTTTCTACTATACCTTGTGTCATAGTCTCTGTCAAAGCCCCTGTCAGTCTCTGTCACAGTCCCTGTCATAATCCCTATTATACCTATGTCATAGACTCTGTCACAGCCCTGTCATAGTCTCTGCTACACCTTGTGTCATAGACTCTGTCACAGCCCTGTCATAGTCTCTACTACACCTTGTGTCATAGACTGTCACAGCCCTGTCATAGTCTCTACTACACCTTGTGTCATAGTCTCTGTCACAGCCCCTGTCATAGTCTCTTACACCTTGTGTCATAGTCTCTGTCACAGCCTCTGTCATAGTCCCTATTACATCTTGTGTCATACCTCTGTCAGTCTCTATTACACTTTATGTCATAGCCTCTGTTAGAGCCCCCGTCACAGTCTCTATTACACCTTGTGTCATAGTCTCTGTCACAGCCCCCATTAGTCTCTGTCACAGCCTCTGTCACAACCCGTCACTGCCACTGTCACAGTCTCCTCACAGTGTCTATAATAGCCCCCATCAGTCTCTGTCACAGTCTCTATCACCCTCTCCCTGACTCTGACTCTGCTCTAGACCCTGCAGGGTAGTCTGTGGGGCACCGCTTTCATTACACAGCGGAACTGTCTCTCCCTGGAAGGCGTCCAGCAGAAGGCTCATGTAATAGCAGGTTATCCTGATGTGCAGGGCTTGTGGGAGGGAGGTTGGGCCGGGAGGCTCATATAAAAGATGTGCTTCACAGGGAGCTGGAGAGCAGATCTCCCCACCAGCCTCCTGGCCCTGGCTGTGGCACATTCCCCGCACCCAGGGGCTGGGATGGGGGAGGGGGCCCATGTCTCTGTCTCTGGGAGGATGACTAAATGGTTTTGTGGTTTTCCTTCAGTCTCTGCAACCCCACTATGAGCTTTCAAGAGCAAAGACTGTGTCATTTTTTTCTCATTCCCTCACTGCAGAGCTGAGCACACGGCTGGGCTCCCAGGGCACAACTTGAAGGTCACATCCAAAGTCCTGGTTTGTCTTGAATTGGTTCCAGTTGCTTCCGTTTGCCTCCAGAATGAACCCACCGTGGCTGCTCACTGCTCCCCAACACCAGGGCTGAGGCCTCCCAGACCCAGCCCAGTGCACTGGGTCCCTGGTGCCTGGTACACCCACCACTCTGCCTTCACTCTTCCAAACCACACATGCCTTCTTCAGAGACCAATTCAAACATGACCGTCTGCCCTGTTCCCCTCCTCTATGCCCTTCCCCCTCCTTCCTCTGCTCTCCAGCCACTTGTCCACATCACATGACCCTCGTCTCTGGCTTCCAGATGGGAATTTCTGTATCTGTCTTATTCCTTCCACAGCTGAGGTGCCTAAGCTCAGGGACTGGACCTTCTAGCATCATATAGGAGGTTCTCTACATTGGGCTAGATAAATAAACTGGTGGGTGACCGAACAAATGAAAGGAGTGACGTGAAACTGGGAGAAGGAGAACATGCAGAGGCATTGGGGGGGTGGGCAGAGGGCATGTCAGGGAGGACCGCATGAGCAGAGCTCAGGAGTGGGGAGTCCAGTGCTTGTGGGGGGCTATGAGCCCACTCCCGGGGCCACCTCATGTTCCCGGGTGAGCTCCGCCTTCCCAGCTCTCCTCACTACCTCTCCCATCTTGCCCCATTTGCCCATACTCTTTCCCCTCTCCCAGGCCATCCTGTCTCTTCTTTCCCTCCCTGACACCTCCAGCCCAGGCTGCTGAAACCACCCCCAGGGCCCCTGTCTAAACTCACTTCAACCCTGATAGATTGTGAATTCCAGACATAGGGCAGAGGAGTCTCTAGTACTTACTTCTTGGCAGCTCGGCTCAGCCGGCACCTCAGGGGCCTCCTCCCACCGCAAGTGCCTCACTCTCCGGCCTGGCTCTGAGTCCAGGTGGCCCAGACGCCCTGGAGCCCCAGCAGGACACAGAGACACAGTCCAGGCCTGGCCGAGCTGTCAGCACATCTTTCTTCTGCCTCCCTGGGAGGAGAGGGGCCTGGTGTCTTGGCCAGGGCTCTGGTAGAGTACTGGGGGAACAGCTGGGAGTGCAGGATAAGGAGCTGGGGCTGGCCTGCAGATGAAAGGCCTCTGGGCTCACTCAGCTGGGCACCGGGCACTCCCAGGTGGGGTCCTGCACAGAGGCAAGGGTGGAGAAGAGGACAGTAGAAGAGTTCACACTCCCAGATCCTAAAGAAACCAGGCAGAGCTGAGAAGAAAGCAGTTGGCAAGGCCAACAGGAAGTTGAACTTGGCAGGGGGCTATCTTTCACTAGTGCCTTAATATCACTGGGAAAGGGTGGGCATGTGGGCTCCTGGGGGAGGTTGTTGGGAAGAGGGGATTGGAAGGACTCAATACCCTTTTTCTATGGGGACAGCAGACTTTCTCCTAAGACAAGCTTAGGACAACAGGTTAGTGACCCCTTAAACTGGATCTTTACTCTGACCCTGCCTTGTTTACCCCACTGAGAGAGGCCTCACCCCTACCAGGCTGCTCCACTTACTAGTTCCCCCTAAGAAACATTCACCAGTAGAAAACCCTACTAGAAAACTTGGTTTACTTTCCATCTCCTCCAGGAAGCCTACCTGGACCATAACATGCTCAGGAGCACCATTGCTCTGAGCTTCTAAACTACTTACTCTGATCCTTGATTACAAACCTCTGGGTGGGATAGCCTTTCTCTGCTTCAACCAGATAGGAACTGCCCGAGCTAGGGAATCTGTCTGCCTTCTTGGCCTCCAGCCATGTTGTGGCCATGCTCAGGGGTGGACAGCCAAGGGCTTGGTCAAGACTGGGTAGGTGACTTCTTCTCTCCATACATGTACAACCAATTGGCCAGCTCCCTGTGTGTCCCACCCCCTCTTCCCATTTCTTCACCAGGAAGCCTGAAGATAGGAAACCTGAAGGAATATAATGGGTTCTTGGGGGCCTAGCCCCCAGATCAGGACTGTCGGTAGGAAGTTGATACATCTCTGATGCAGCCCACAGTGCAGACCTGCATGGTGCATGGGGAGAATGGAATCTATGATAAACAGAAGGATGCAATTGTACATGTATTGGGGGCACAGGCTCAAGGATGTGACCTCTGAGTCAGTTCCCTCTGATCCCACTTAAACAAGCACCTACCCCAGAGAGAAGAAAGCCTGCCTTCTGGACACCTAGCCAGGACATATCAAGGATGGAGAATTCAGAAAAAGCAATCTGTATAGCAAGACATCCCTTTCATCGCAATAGCAATTTTTAAGATGAATATATGACCTAAATTGAATTCCAAAGGCCACATGTCTCCCCCTCTGTTGGCTAACACAGGTTTCATTCAACATTCTACCACTCAGTGTTTATTAAGAACAGACCACACATGAGAAGCCATGCCCACTGCATTTGTTTTCTCATGTAGTCTTCAAAATAATTTAGGAGAGTCACATCATTTTTTTTTTCCCTTTTTGGCCATGCCACTCAGCATGCAGGATCTTAATTCCCTGACCAGGGACTGAACCTGTGCCCCTTGCCATGGAAGTACAGAGTCTTAACCACTGAACCACCAGGGAAGTCCCAGGAAGTATATATCATTAAACCCATCTTATACACAAGGAAGACTGAGGAATACATGGGCAGTAAAAGACAGTATTTCATTCTACAGCTTCTGTTTTACAGTCTCACGCTCTATTGTTTATAGCAGGGGCTTCCAGGCTTTTGGAATCCACAGACAAATAACATTTCAAAAATGATTCTGGGGAACAAACACAAAATCCTATGCCAACTTTTTTATTTAGCCAAGGACGTGAAAAATACCCTCTCCCAGCACTATGATTTCATAAAGGGGCATTTTAACACAGAAGATGCAACAAGGATATAATGGTAGGATAAAGACAGCTTTTTAAGAAAGGACGTTGGCAACCTTACCCTAAAAATCCTCCATTGTTCTCTCTTTTTCTGGTTAAATTTCAAGCAGAACTGGCCAAAACCTTGGCATTACACAGTGTGGGAGCCACTGCCCTATCCCAGAGTTGCACCTTTAAGCAAGAGCAGACCGTGAGCAAATAAACTTCCAGAATTTTCCATTCCTTTCTGCCCATGCAGGTTGCCACTGCTGTGGCACTGATCGGTTGGTATGTATATAATCAGCTACATCCCCACCCTATCCCCAGCAGGTCTTCTGATATTCAGCATTCCTTCTAGGGAAGGAAGTCTATTCTCCCCAGCCCATGCTCTCTTGGACCCAGATTTTTTCTGGGTTTGCATTCCGGGAATACCCAGGACCCCTGCAGCCTGGCAGGGTACACATCTGTCTCCCAGAGGTACTCAGTCCTCCACTGCAGTGGAGAGTCAGAGATCTCCTCCCTATCTCAGCCCAGAGGCAAGGCCTTCCCTTGCTGGGGTCCCCAGATCCTGTGTATTGTGTTATCAGGTCAGTGCAGAGTAGATGTCAGGCTTTCTAGGCAGTGCTGGAAAGGAGTGTGTGTGAGACCTGAGTGAAGCAGTGGGGAGACTACAGACGTGCGGGCTCCATTCTTTGCTTGCTCTCTGCTTTAGCCACACTAGACTCAGAACTGCCTCTCTCTCCTGTACCTGGGCCTGTCCCCACCCCCGTCTGTGTGAGTCACCTGCTCAGCCGAGAAGAGGCTGACCCGTAGAGCCCTAGGTGTGGCTCCAGTTCCATCATATTCTTGCTGTGGGATGTTTAGCAAGTCACTTAAGTCTCTGTGCTTTAGTTTTCTAGGTTGCAAATGGGAGTATGAATGTTAGGCTGAGTTTGGTGAAACTGGAAAGTTTTGACCATATTTGGCCCACAAAAATTTCATGCGGTTTAATAAATGAAGTGTAAGCTGTAAAGTGCTGGATACATGGTCTTTCACCAAATCCAACACCTCCTCCAGGAAGGTGCTCCCTAGCTACCCCCAAGCCTCAGTGAAGTACCCCTCCTCAAATCTCACTGGTCAAGGCATGATTTAGCACACAGTTCTTTTCTGTCTTGAGTTTTCTCCTCTTTCCGGAACATGAATGTAGATTCTCCACAACATGGAGCCCATCAAGGGCAAGACCTGGGTCTCCCCCTCCTAATTCCCTCAGATTGCTGGCATGCCACAGCTATCCTCTATTACAGTTTTCAGAGGGAGAAGACTAGGCTTCACAAGGGGTTTCCATGAACCTGCTTTAATAAACAGTCATTTCTTCACACAAGGGTGGTCCTAGATGGCCCTGAATGGGTGGTATTAATTAAACTGAGGGGAGGGGAGGTGCTAGATGGGGAGGAATTAAGGGACACTGACTCCTGGCCAGCCTGTGACACCAGGGTGCCAGGAAGCAGAACCGTGATTGAATCCACCATCTACTACACAGAGCCCCTTCAGTGACATTAACTAATTTCCAGGGTCCCTCACTCATGTGTTGAGTTGACATTATGGATCTGCTGTTCCTCACCCCCCCAACTCTGAATTGGTGCTGAGTTCCCTGAGATGAGTCTGACCTGTCCTCCCCCTAGGGAGCTCTCCCCTGAAGGCGACACGGCCTGTACTGTGTAATCAATAGTCAGGCTGATGGGAGCTCCTGGGCCATGGGACCCAAAAGGGGGACATGGCCAAAATTTGGGTGGTCAGGAAAGGGGTTCCTAGACGAGGAGATGTCCCTGCCATGGGTCACTGGGGAGCTGGTTTGGGTTGACTTCCTGAAGCTGGGGTAGGGCAGCCTAACTCCCGGCTGACACAGAAACCCAAAGAAGTGAGTTAAATGGCGCACCAGGGCAGGCAGGGCTCACCACTGGATAAAAACACTCCTCCTCAAGGAGACCCAAGGACATTCAGGGATTAGGCCTCCCAGCATCTGTGCAGAGAACTGTCAGCTCAGAACCGCTCAAAAGTAGAAATGCCAGCAAGCAGTGATGTCATCACCCTAGTCATTCCCTCTCCCCCTGGGAGGTCCTGTAGTCCTGAGTAGAGAGCAGAAAAGCTTCTGCCAGATTGCAGAAAATTTCTGCTCTGAATGGGGTGCGAGAGATGGTCACAAGTGAGCTAAGAATGAGAATAAAAAATTATTTCAAGAAAAACTTGATGTTATTCTTTAGAGAGGTGGCAGGGCTGGGGGATCTTTTTGCCTCCCCCCTGTCAATGCTGAGAATCCACTTCAGCATTAACACGAACTCCAGCCTCCGCCAGCCAACCCCTTCCCATCTCATCTCTGAGCTAATCTGGCACGTTGGCCCTGACAGGGTCTAAGTAACCCCTGGGCCATCTCGGCAACCACCCCCCCCCGCCCAGGGGAGGGGGAGGGTGTCTGGCTAGCCCTGCTTGTGAGGATGGGGGTCAGGCTGTCAGGCGCTCTTAGAGGGCTGGAGAGGAGCACCGCTGTATCTCTGGCAGAGCTGGTGGGATTTGTCCATAAGCCCGGAGACTGCACAGCTGGACCGCCGGCGGGCCTGGGGGTGGGGGTGGGG